TCGTATGTTCTCATAAGTGGAAGCTAAGCTATGAGGATGCAAAGGCATAAAAATGATGCAATGGACTCTGGGGACTCGGTGGGGAAAGGGTAGGAAGGGGGTAAGGGATAAAAGATTACAAATTGGGTTCAGTGTATACTGCTCAGGTGATGGGTGCACCAAAATCTCATAAATCATAGCTAAAGAAATTACGCATGTATCCAAATACCACCTGTTCCCCAAAAACCTATGGAAATAGAAAATTAAACAACAAGAAAGTTAGGTTCAGGGAAGTGCAGTGACTTTTCCAAGGTAGCCTGGCTAGAAGGGGAGGGTAGTGGACAGTTAGACTGGCACTCACTAGACAGGCAGGACCCGGCCTCACCCTGGGACCTGTCCCTGCTCGTCAGCATCTGCCCACTGGAGCCACGTGACAGAGGGACACAGCGTAGCCAAGACATTTACAAAATGAAGATCCTTTGTGCCTGAGTGAAGTGATCCTTTCAAAAATGATCGCCAGCTCCCCTTCACCACCTCCGGAGACCAAGTCCTGGCTGATTTTTCCCCGTCTTTATCTCAAGTACATTTAAATGTCAATTAAATTTGAAATATCTACATTTGTCAGCATTTCATTTTGGGCCAGCGTGACGTGCTGCTGATTTGTCCACGCGATGTGACACATGAAAAAAACTCCCGAGATGCAGATCTTCCTCATTAAAAAATAAGCCGGTGCGATCCCGGTGCGGCAGAGAGCATGGAGCACGTCCCCGCTTCCTGACGCCGTGTCTCTGACATGGTATTTAAAAAGGAACAGCCTCGCCTGTCACCACTGTCACACGCGCGTGCTAACCAGCGACACGTTAAACCAAACATTAGAAGGGGTTCGGGAAGTCATCTGCATGGGAACTCCGCGCGGAGACGAGGTGGGCAGAGGCGGGAGCAGCCGTGGGGGATGATGGTGTCTGATCCGTGACGGATGGCCAGCCTTTCTTCCACGCCAAGACTCTGGCAGCCCTCGCTGGGCAGCCAAGTTTGCCGCAACCTGCCTTTTCACAGATAGCTCTTTGTGTGTAATAAAATCCAGGCAAGTGGTGGGTGGCAGACTGCAGGGGAGTAGCTGAATTGGGTTAATGAGGGAAAAGGTGCTTTTTTTTTTTTTTTTTCCATATTCTGCCTTAAGCTAATAAAAAATGTAAGCCTGGACGTTTTCGATGGTTCATCCTTTATCTCTGACAAATATATGACTGTATGTTTCATGGGAGAACATGGGCAGCTGAATTTAAGTAAGTTTATTTTGAAACCTCACTTTTCATTAAAAGTAGAAGAGGAAACACCGTATCTCTTATTTCGTTGTTTCCGACCCAGGAAACTGAAGAGGTGAGATCCTGTAGTGGTTGAAAGTCGGCGAATCCACATTCAGTTCCCAGCTCTATCTTTAGGTGCTGTGTGACCCCGGGCAAGTGACTCCCCCTCTCTGAGCCTTGGCTACTTTGTCTGCAAAATGGGGTTGCAATAAAGAATTCATGAGAAATTGTATGGACAGCATTTTGCCCAAGGCTTGTAAGTAGTGCTGGTGTTATCGCCATCCATGTGGCCTGGACTTTACCAAGCTCTGATCTGAGCACATCAGATGACAAATTTCTCACCTGGGTGTGCCCTGCCACTCTCAAGAGATGGGTGGTATATTCTGGAGGCAGCTGGGTCTCCTGTGGAAACCATTGCCCAACCAGCCTGGCCCGGTCAGTACATCCAACTGGAGAAGGAAGGTGGCCTGTGAACTGGAAACTACGGCTCCTTCTCTTCCCCCGCCTGCCACAGTCACGCCAGTGTGGGAGCCCCCGGCCCCCTCCACCATCACAACAGCGTGGGCGGCACTGGATTGTGACACTGGCCTGAACAGTGGCCACCTGATCTACCGAAGCCAGGGCGCGGCCCAGCACGGAGGCTCCTCCCTCCTAGGTGAAGCCGGAAATTCCTCGCAGGTTGAGTGGCGTTGCGCCAACATGTCAAGCTGTGATCTGTGCCCTCTTGTCAGAGCCAGAGGTGGGGGCCTGTGCTTAGATGGATGTCAGAAAGGCAACCAAGGTGGACACGAGGGCAAGTGGAGAGCCTCCCTCCATTTGGCCCGAGCAGGGGCTGGTGTCCCCTCGTGTGCGTCTAACCCGAGCCCCGCTCACGGGAGAGTGAGGACCCTGGGAGTGGACTGTCCGGGCTGCAGTCCCCGTTCTCCACTTCTTGGCCACATGGTCACCTCTTCACCAGTGATGCCCCAGTGCACAGCTAGCCTGGGTCTGCTCACAGGAAGCAGGCTGAGAGTGCCTGTTGCTTGGGTACACAGATGGACAGATGGATGGGTACACTCATGAAGGCCTCATCCTCTAGAAAATCAGTATGGTGACACCTTCTTGTTAGGCTCTTGTGAGGGGTAGAAATGGCCTCTATGAAGCACAGTGCCTGCTTGTTGATATCGTTTTAAACACTTTCTGCCTGCCCCTACCTCCCTGGCACCCTCACCTTCAAACATCGTCCCATTCTTCATGTCTTAGCATCTCAGAACAGTCTGGGGAAAGGGGACAGTATGGTGCAGCTCCAGGAAGATGGTAAAGTGGGGGTTCCCCCAGCAGGCTGGCTTTCATTCATTCACGAACTTCCACGGCATTCATGCTGTACCCCAGGTGGGGAGAAAGAGAACAAGCCAGGCCCTGCCCTTGAGGTGCTCGACTCAGAAACGGTGGCAAGAGGCTAAATGGTGTCTAAGAAGTGCTAAGACGCACAGCCAGAGAGCTCTCCTAGACTCCAGTGGGCTTCATAGCAGTCGCATTAAGCTGAGTCTTCAAGACCAAAGAGCAGTCAGTGCTCCAAGCAAAGGTGACAGGGACGGGGGATATCCCGGGCCGGTGTGGTCAGAGATGGTAAGCATGGCCGAAGTGCAGGGGAGGCCAGGAGAGGGCCGCAGAGGTAGGCAGATCTGACACACAGCGTGGAGACTGCCCTGCTTGGAGCCCAGGCCTGGCACGGCTGCTCAGCAGTGCATCCCACGAGCTCCCCAGAGTGTGGCAGAAGCCCACGGCCTGCCCACCCGCCGCTCGCCTGCTCAGGAGAGCAGTCAGTGCTACAGAGCGAGAGTGGGCTCCCCCTAACTTTGAAACAACTTTGAAATAACATGTCTGAACATATTATTCCTAACCCTTTGCTCCACAGATTTATTTACTCACCATACCACCAACTGCAGCGAGATCACAGTTCAGAATGGCAGATTCGTAGGTTTTAGCAGGAGAGTGACAAGTGTGGGTTTGTGATTGAAAGAGACTCTGGTGGCTGTATGGAGGGTAGCCTTTCTGCTCTGTCTTCTTTGCTGTGGAAGTGGCAGGAGCCAGGTGCCCTGGCCCCAAGATTCCTGCAAGTCAGGTCTTCCTGGCCTCTCCACTGAGGCAGGAAAATGCCCCCTGGACCAGAGCCCTCTCTAGTCCAGGAAGGGCTGAGTTGTGTCTTGCCCCTGACAGCCAGCAAGGCAGCCTGGGAGCAGGGAAGAGCCCAGCGCTGCGACTCGCCGCCTCCTGTTGTGTAACCCTGGGCTACTGGCTTCCCCTCCTGAGCCTCAACCTCCACTGCAGTTCGAGGACAAAAGTCTGCCTGGCCAGCCTCTGGGAGGAAGTGAGGGTTCTGATGTGAAAGTGCTGGGATGGGCACCAGCCCTGGCGGATTGCAGCAAAGCGCAGGCACAGGCCACTCGCCCCATCCCCCTGTGCAGCCACTGTCTCTGACTCACCCTCCAGCTGTGGTTCTTGTGCCCTTTTTTTGGACACATTGCCCTCTCCTGAAATAAAACCTCAAAAGAATTCCAGCATACAGAGCAGAGAAGGGAGACGGCTTTGGCTGAGGGGGTGACAGGAGAGGAGGTAGCCCATGCCAGCCTCCAGACCCCATATTCTCCCCAAACTTCACTTGCCTCAGAGCAAGCCAGCCCACAGAACGGGGCAGGGGTGCGGAACACCCCGGGATCTGCTCACACCGGGCAGGCTCAAAATGCCTCTTGGTGGAACGCACAGAGACACCTACTCCCCAGTGCAAGGGCCGGGATTTGAACCCAGGTCTGCTAGTCCAGCTCGCCCCTGCTGAGCACACGGCCTCCGGTGGGCCCTGGTCAGTATATAATTCATGGGAGCCGGGCGTGGAGTTTCTCCAGGCTGTGTATGTGTTGGTGTTTATAGAGGTAGAGCTCACAGGTGGCTGACAAGGGAGATGCATTTTTTATAACAATGAATATTTAATTTCCACATCACAGATGAAAAAGACTCTCTGAAGAGGCATCTGACGGAAACTCCAGAGAGCAGCCGCTAATCAGAAAAGGGCCTTCTCGCGAGAGCTCTTCCGCACGGCTCACTTTTTTCTTTAACTTTTTTATTTTTTATTTCTTCCTGATTATTGGAGTAGATATGCTCATTGTAGAAAATGTATAAGACACAGAAAAATAAAAAGAAGCAGGGGGGAAAGAAATCACCCATGATTCCACTGGCTGTTATTGACATTAGCCATGTACCTTTCCAGTCTTTTTTCTATGAATTTTTCCATAAGCAGATGACAGCGAATGCGGTGTGATTGCAGTTCTGCATCCTGATCTTTAAATGTGTCTTCATAAACATTGCGTTTCGTGGAAGGACAAGATTCAGCCACTGCGCCAGCTGGTTGTTGCTGACAATGTAGGTTGTTCCATGTTTTAATATTATAAACACCAGCGATGACCATCTTCAGGTGTGATTCTTTGCCAACTTTGAGGGTTAACCAAATGGAAGTGGGATTACTAGGTCCTATGTGATGGGTCATGAGTTGAAGGCTCTGGACACATGGCAAATTTAGTTTCTTTTCTATCTGGAACGAGCTTCCTCTCCTGGGAGCTGCCACCCCAGGCTGGCACAGGGAGCCAGGCATGGAGCCCAGAGGCCTGCTTCTCGCCTGCACATGAAGTTCTGAGGGCGCCCCTAACTGCCTGTTCTCTTCTCTTTTGTCTTCCTCTGCCCCAGCCTGGTAAAGCCCTTACGACACTACGCGGTCTTCCTCTCCGAAGACTCCTCTGACGATGAATGCCAGCGGGAAGAGGGCCCGAGCTCTGGCTTCACCGAGAGCTTTTTCTTCTCTGCTCCCTTTGAATGGTCTCTTCTTCCTTCTTCCATTTCCCTGAGCTCGGTTGGGTGACTCTGCGGGGCTGCATGGGGAAAGCGGGGGGCTGGTGATGCTTGCCTTTGTGTCGCGGGGGGGGAGGGTGTCTGGAGCTGCTGCCTGCCGATGCCCCAGTGCCAACATGCCGGATGGACGCCACCTCCGTGTGCCACCTCTCAGGGCATCCGTTCTGCTAGCTCCACAGGGGCTGTGACAATTGAGTAAGGTGACAGGGTGATATGCGAGTGTTGGTCCCTCAGAGATGAAAATGTGTTTGATTGCTGATGGAACTGGTGACTACAATTAGTCTGGTTGTTGATCTCCAAGTCCTTCTTTATCTCAGCGTGTCTTGGAAAGCCATGGAGATGGGAGTCAGAGTTTAAGTTGACAAAGAAAACGTTCCTCATATGAAATGTTTGTATTGAATGCCAGCCTATCCAAGTGTTCTAATCTGCCTGACTTTTTAAAGATAAATTTAATCATTATTATTTATAGCCTAAGCCTCATACCAATTACAAGTAGTGATTTTAAAAAGTTTCACCCACCATCCAGCCACCCCTAAAATTAAGCTGCTGTCGCCCTCCTTTCTTTACCCGTTCTTGCCCCTCTACCCACAAGTGTTTCAGAGCTGGGATTGAGCAGAGAGACAGACAAAAGCTGTTTGCCCTTGTTAACACGGTTCTGTGTTTTTAATGGGAGCCTTTCAGGGAATGGAAAGTACCCTTTGCTGGATGCCCACGGTGACCACAGCAACCTTCCAGGGAGCATGTTAATCGTTTGAGTCATTGCACAGAAGAGGAGATGCCCTTCCCTCCCTCTCCCTCATGTCCCCTGCACCCTCTCCCTCTTCCCAAACCCCAGCATCCGGTCCCCCTCCATGGGGTGGCCCGTGGGTTCCTCTAAGGACCTTATAAACCCCAGGCTGCTCGGCCCCCTGTCACCAACCCCACAGGGTCAGAGGGTCCTGACCCTTTCCTGCCGCCAGGTCACTGGGGACCCAGACAAGTCACTCCCCTCCCAGTGTCCTCACTTAGAAAGTAGTGGCCTTGCCAAGCACAGTGGCTCACACCTGTAATCCCAGCACTTTGGGAGGCCCAGGCAGGTGGATCACTTGAGGCCAGGAGTTCGAGACCAGCCTGGCCAACATGGGGAAACCCCGTCTCTACTAAAAAAATACAAATATTAGCTGGTGTGGTGGCACGCACCTGTAATCCCAGCTATTCAGGAGACTGAGGCAAGAGAATCACTTGAACCCAGGAGGCGGAGGTTGCAGTGAGCCGAGATCACGCTGCTGTACTCCAACCTGGGTGACAGAATGAGACTCTGCCTTAAAAAAAAAAAAAAAAAAAAGAGTGGCCTAAGCTGGTGTCATCCAAGCATCACACATCACTTTTGCTGTATATCAAATCTTTGTTTCAATTTTTTTCAAAAGATTTTAAAATTAGCCTTCTCCTAAGCAATAATATCTACGATATCGTAGGCTTAATGTATTAGTTATTATTTCTGTTACTAATTAGAACAAAAATAGAACCTTTAGCATAAGATATGTTCATCTATGTGTCAACTTAAAACACCTTTTGGGAAAAGGCACCCTGCTGCCAGCCAGGAGTGCACCAAGTCAAGTCCAAGACCCAGCTCCATCACATCCTCTCTGAACTAACTGATGCCTTAATTATTTAAATAATGGCAAGGGCCCGCTTCCTTAGCCCATGACCTCAGAGGTCAGTACAGGCCTTTGTGTGTGTGTTTGAAAAGAAACTGGCCCATCCTAACTCAAAATGGGTTCAAAATGGGTTCCTTAAGTTCCAGAAGCACACTGACTTTAACCCTTTCATTGTGCTCCTCTTGATTAAAGGGTCTCTAATTCCTTGGTCAGGGTGAGTGAGGGACGTTTGAAGCCTCTCAAGCTTGGCTTCCATTTCCACCCCTTGGGAGTGCTGTGTGACATAGGTGAGTTATTAACATCTCTGAGCTTCATTCCTCATCCATAAAGTGGGGGTGTAAGTCCGACTTCCTGGCCCGCTAGCATTGCTTCAGCAAGAGAGTACATGATGGAGTCCCTGTCCATCACTGATATTGTTTGATGAGCCCTCCCATATGTCCCCCACCCTGCAGTCTTCACTGTGAGCCTACCCTTGACCGCCAGGTGGTGCCCTTCCCCCACTTTACCAGTGCCACGGGCACGATCTCTGCCTGACCTAGGGCTACCACCAGCCCGACTTGGGGTTAGAAGAGGCGAGCTGTGGCCAGGTGCGGTGGCTCACACCTGCAATCTCAACATGGGGAGGGCTATGAGGGGCAGCGGAGATCACTTGAGGTCAGGAGTTCGAGACGTCTGGCCCACATAGTGACCCCAGTCTCTACTAAAATAAAAAATTAGGCTGGGCTGTGAGGGTGGCGGGCTGCTGTAATCTCGTCTCGGGAGGCAAGCCAGGAGATTGCTTGAGAACCTTGAGGCGGAGGTTGAGTGAGCTAGATCGCGCCAATTGCATCCAGCCTGGGAGACAGGAGTGGGAAACTCCGTCTAAAAATAAAATAAAAATAAAAAATAAAAAGGTTTGAGTGCAGGGCTGGGCGCCGGTGGGCTCAAGGTGTAATCCCGCACTTTGGGAGGCGAGACGGGGCGGATCACGAGAGTCAGGAGATCGAGACCTCTGGCTACCAATGAAACCTGTCTCTATACAAATGCAAAAAAACTGAGCCGGCGCGAGGTGGTGGGCTCCGTAGTGCCCAGTATCGGGAGGCTTGAGCAGTGGAGTATTGGCGTGACCGGAGGCGGAGTTGCAGTGAGCTGAGATTGGCCATGCACCCAGCGGGGCGCAGAGCCAGATCGCCGTCCAAAAAAAAAAAAAAAACAAAAAAAAAGGTGAGATGCGTTCCCACTGGGGCTCATAGAGGTCAGGGTTGACCCAGGCACTGCCTCTCCATCTACCCAGTGGTGCCCTGGGACTCAGGTCCATGGGAAGGGAAGGCAAGTGGAACCCTTTGTTACCTATACTTGTATCAGCTGCAAAGTAGTGGTGTGGGGTTTGTTTGTGGTTTGTTTTGTTTTGTTTTGCTTGTTTTGAGACAGGGTCTTGCTTTGTCACCCAGGCTGGAGTGCAGTGTTGTGATCTTGGCTCACTGCAACCTCCATCTCCCAGGTTCAAGCAATTCCCATGCCTCAGCCACCCGAGTAGCTGAGACTACAGGCATGCACCACCACACCCCGCAAAATTTTGTAATTTTAGTAGGGACAGGGTTTCACCATGTTGGCCAGGCTGGTCTAGAACTCCTGACCTCAAGTGATCCGCTCACCTCGGCCTCCCAAAGTGCTGGGATTACAGGCATGAGCCACCGTGCCCAGCCAATGGCTGCAAGGTTTTGATGTGTAAAAGTATAGAAAGCTGATAGCAGAAGAGCCTGTGTGACAGCCATGCTCACTGGTGGGCGCTGGATGCTGTAACCAACCTCTGCATGTCTGCTGTGTGCCAGGCACCGCATTTGCTCATGTAACCACCACCACCACCACCTGAGCGCCTGAGGCTCAGAGAGTTAAGTGACCTGCCAAAGGTCCCACAGCAAGAAATAGCATGACCAGAGCTGGAACCAAGCTTAGCAGGGCAAGCTTAGGCCCAGACAGTTCCCCATGAGCTGTTCACAGAACCTGACTGTGGCTGTGCCTAGGCTACCAAACAGCAGAGCAGGGCGGGAGTAAGAGGAGCATGACTGCTGGCCTGTGAGCCCCCTTCCAGTCCTGTCTGTTCCTCATACCTTGTCTGAATGGCTCACAAGCCCACTAGCTAGTTTTATGAAAGGACCTGTAGTTTGGGAGGGGCACTAAATGGGTCCCCTCCGTGCACGTGAGAGCCAAAGCGACTTGCCCCTGTTCACACCCCCAGGCCCATCGGTGTGCCCAGCTTGCACCCTCGCAGCCTCCCAGACTCCTGCCCTCACGGAGACCCTGGGACACGCTCCTGTCCCGAAGGCTCCTGCGTGTACCCCTCAAGCCCTCAATGTGCTTGGGCTGGAGGCCGCTTGCTCCTCCCCTGAAGGCCTGGGTGGGAGATTCCAGCCTGCCCTGTCTCCCCGCAGGCCACAGCCGTATCGGACACTCAAGGAGTCAGACAGTGCGGAAGGCGACGAGGCAGAGAGTCCAGAGCAGCACGTGCGGAAACCCGCAGGCCCCGTCCCAGCTCCCACTGACCGGGCTGCCAGCATCGACCTTCTGGAAGACACCTTCAACAACCTGGACATGGAGGCCGCATTGCAGCCCCTGGGCCAGGCCAAGAGCTTGGAGGACCTTCGTGCCCCCACAGACCTGAGGGAGCAGCCAGGGACCTTTGACTATCAGGTATGGCATAGGCAAGGGAGGGGACCTGCCAGGCCCGCACTGTCCGCAGACCCCCATGTGACAGTGGAAGAGACTAACAGAGAAACAGTGACTTTCCAAGGCCCCCAGCCAACACTTAGGGTCAGTGTGACTGTAAACCCCTCCCAGGGTGCCGGGGCCCACACCACCCTAACAGTGACGGTAGGAGAAGATGCTAGAGCCTGATGGAAACTTGCCCCACCCTGTGTGTGCCTCAGACGAGGGGGCGGGTGCTGCCAGCCACTCTCCTTGCCCCCCCAGAGGGGCTGCAGCCCCTGCTGGAACTGGGATTGCATCCATCCCTGCCAGGGCTCCTTGGCAGAGCCTTTGGATGAAAGTTCTGGGCTCTGCATTATGAATGCAAATCAGTGTGTAATTCCCATTGTGACGTCCAATCCGTCACATCCCTTCTTGGTGCCTCAGTTTCCTTACTTGCAAGTGGGGGCTTCTGACTCTGCATCACTGGGTCACACTGTGGGGTTCACAGAGCTCCAGTCATTCATGAGTGTTCCCTGCTGGGAAGGAGGACCTGGGCCAGGAGAAGGGGACTGGTGCCCGGGCCATGTGGCTTACAAGTGGCAGAGCCAGGACTCCAACTTGGCCTCCTCCTTTCTCCCCAGCCAAGGTGCCTTCTACCAGGCCCTGAGTCTCACTCACCCTCCCAGGCTTATAGGTGATTGCAGGTGCCTGCAATCTAAAAAGTGAAAAGGGCCAGCCAGTAGCTGAAGTCGCTTTCCTAAAACTCCTTGGCAACCACCACTGGTGTAAAGGGACGAGAGCTTTCTCTTGAGTTCCCGGAGCACAGGCTTGGAGTCCCAGCACACCTGGGTCCTCTGCTGGTAACCTGGGGGAGTCCCCAGCTGTTCCAAGTCCGAGGAGCTAATCAGCCACACACCTAGGCCCAATATGCATTCAGCACACAGGAGTGGTGTGGGAATGGGCACACATATGTCCCAACTCAGCCTGTGGTCACTGCCGCCCTCCTTCCCTCCCAACAGAGGCTGGACCTGGGCGGGAGTGAGAGGAGCCGCGGGGTGACAGTGGCCTTGAAGCTTACCCACCCATACAACAAGCTCTGGAGCCTGGGCCAGGACGACATGGCCATCCCCAGCAAGCCCCCAGCTGCCTCCCCTGAGAAGCCCTCGGCCCTGCTCGGGAACTCCCTGGCCCTGCCTCGAAGGCCCCAGAACCGGGACAGCATCCTGAACCCCAGTGACAAGGAGGAGGTGCCCACCCCTACTCTGGGCAGCATCACCATCCCCCGGCCCCAAGGCAGGAAGACCCCAGAGCTGGGCATCGTGCCTCCACCACCCATTCCCCGCCCGGCCAAGCTCCAGGCTGCCGGCGCCACACTTGGTGACGTCTCAGAGCGGCTGCAGGTGGATCGGGACAGGCGAGCTGCCCTGAGTCCAGGGCTCCTCCCTGGTGGTGTCCCCCAAGGCCCCACTGAACTGCTTCAGCCACTCAGCCCCAGCCCCGGGGCTGCAGGCACGAGCAGTGATGCCCTGCTCGCCCTCCTGGACCCGCTCAGCACAGCCTGGTCAGGCAGCACCCTCCCGCCACGCCATGCCGCCCCGAATGTAGCCACCCCATTCACCCCCCAATTCAGCTTCCCCCCTGCGGGGACACCTGCCCCATTCCCACAGCCACCACTCAACCCCTTTGTCCCATCCATGCCAGCAGCCCCACCAACCCTGTCCCTGGTCTCCACACCAGCGGGGCCTTTTGGGGTCCCTCCAGCTTCCCTGGGGCCGGCTTTTGCATCCGGCCTCCTGCTGTCCAGCGCTGGCTTCTGTGCCCCTCACAGGTCTCAGCCCAACCTCTCTGCCCTCTCCATGCCCAACCTCTTTGGCCAGATGCCCATGGGCACCCACACGAGCCCCCTACAGCCGCTGGGTCCCCCAGCAGTTGCCCCATCCAGGATCCGAACGTTGCCCCTGGCCCGCTCAAGTGCCAGAGCTGCTGAGGCCAAGCAGGGGCTGGCCCTGAGGCCTGCAGACCCCCCACTTGTGCCTCCCAGGCCCCCCCAAGGCCTGGAGCCAACACTGCGGCCCTCTGCTCCTCAACAGGCCAGAGACCCCTTTGAGGATTTGTTACAGAAAACCAAGCAAGACATGAGCCCAAGTCCGGTCCTGGCCCCGGCCCCGGCCCCGGCCCCGGCCCCGGCCCCAGACTCGGTGGAGCAGCTCAGGAAGCAGTGGGAGACCTTCGAGTGAGCCAGGCCCTGAGGGCAGGGGATGCATCGAGGCCCGAGGGTCCGTCCACTGCTGCGGTTCCGAGGGTCCCCTGCCACGCGCTCTGCCCAGGTTCTGCTGGTGGGAAGGGATGGGACCCCTCTCTGCTGCCCCCTCCTCCCCTCCACACTGCCCATCTCTGCGGTCTGGCCCTGCGGAATGGCACCAGTTCCAATCTGGGAATCAACCCAGTTCCTGAGTGCCCGTCCCACCCCGCGGTTGCCCGTCCTCGGCACCCTTGATTGGGTTTTGCACTAAAGAGGTCAGCTGGGCCAGTGATTGCCCCAGACCAAGTCCTACCCACCTTCCCCCTGGAAGTGTCCCGAGAGGCTCCGAAGGCCTATCCTCTGAGCCCAGCTCTCCTGTTCCACCACAGCCAGGCCCTGCACGCCCACCTCCTCGGACACAAGTGGCAGGGTTACCCTCCAGTGTGAGCTCCTCTGCACGAGACACAGGCGGCTTGGGGTTGAAGTTAGGACTCCTCCTGGGCTGGAGGATTTACCTGGTGGGGCACTTCCAGACTGTTTCTAGCAATATACACACACGTTCTTTCCTGTGTCTTCACCCCAAAACTTCAGTTGATTCTGACCTGGGAGGGTCTGGGGACCAGGGGGTCTGGACTGCCTTGTGATGCCCAGCCCCAGCCACCCTGCACGGGGACTGCGAGCACCAGCAACATTGATTTCTAGAAGGAAAATAGAAACCCCATCCGAGTGTTTTGGGGGGAGCCCCCACCCCCTCATTCCAACTCTCTGGCACTCTGATACCTCCAGGTTCTCTTCTGTCAAAGCTGGGTCTCAGCCTCTTGGCATCTGGAGCTTTGTGGGCAAGCTGCGACCCAGATTTCAACTCGAAGGTCGAGCGGAATGCCTCAGACTGATGCGGAGGCAGCTGGCCTTCCTGGGTTGGAACGAGGCAGTGGCCCTGAGCCCCTGCTCCAGAGCCGGGTAGAAAGGACAAACTTGGTCTCTGCCTCAGAGAAGCAGGAGAAGGGCTAGAAGCCAGTCCCTCCCCACCTGCCCAGAGCACCAGGCCAGCACAGAAATTCCTGAGGCCACCGTCACCAAAGTTAGAGTGAATGTTTTATTGTTTATCTTTTTCCTTTTTACCTTATTGATTTGATGAGTCTTGAAATTGATTCATTTCCATAAACCAAGTTAAAGTATGCCCCGACCATTTAAGAAAACAGCCATCTGAGACACGCAGGAAATTGTGAGCATTTCGACCCGAGCTCTCATTTCCTATTCGGGATGGGTCAGACACAGAGTCTACCCAGGGGTGTCTGAGGGGGACAAGGAGTGGGGGGGGGTCTCTGGAGATCTGTCACCCAGGGAGCCCCCTCTGTGTCTAAGAGGCCACCACTGCTGCACATGGTCAGGGAGGCTTGGTGGCCGTCCTGGCACATGGCTTTTCCTGGGCCAACTGTGACCTGTCTGGCTCAGGAATGGGCTCTGGCTGCTTGGGGAGCCGTGTCACTCCTGGGCCATGGGGGCACCTCCCGGGCACTTAGGTGTTTCACAGAGATTCCAGTTTCACTCCCTGGCCAGATCCCCAGGCCCCATCCGGGATAGGGCAGAGGCGGCGCTGGCAGCCCCAGGGAAGGAGGGTGTGTACCCCAAGGCGCCCTGGCTGTGCTGGGGGACTGGGGTGAGCGCTCCATGGTCACATGAGCACTGCTGCCTCTTCACTTGTGGGACTGACTTTGCAAACCCAAGGATGAACTTTGTGTGCATTCAATAAAATCATCTTGGGGAAGAGGCTGGCATCCCCGTGTCCTTGAAGCTTTTGGGGTGGGGGAGGCCCCACGTGGGCCTGAAGCCATCCTCACCACCAGCTCCTGTAGAGGCGGGGACCAGGCGTGGAGCAGTTAGGGAAGGAGTCAATTCCCCGCACCCGCCCAAGCCGGTGGCCACTCAGGGCTCTAAGCCAGCTCATGCTCTGCCCCTCATAGACCAGGCACGGGGTTGGGCTGGCAACAGGCCTGCTCAGCCCTGCTAGGGCCATGGGGCAGACTGCAGGCCACCAACGATGTTGAGGGCACCCAGGAGCCAGGAAAGCATTCAAGGGGACACCTGGCAAGTCGCCCCCACAGGTCTCTCATTAGCAAGAACAGAGCCTGGGCATCTGCCTCTGTTGGACGCTGGTATTTGGAGGGGGTGGAAATGCAGACCAATCGACCACCCATAGTGTGAAACATGCCCAGTCACACCACCCACCCCCTCCAACTCGCCCAGCATCTGACCATGCTCTCCCCTGCAGGACTGACAGGCCTGAACGACAGTCACCCAGGCCAGGCACAGTGGCTCATACCTGTAATCCCAACACTTTGGGAGGCTGGGGCAGGTAGATCACGAGGTCAGGAGTTCAAGACCAGCGTGGTCAAGATGGTGAAACCCCTTCTCTACTAAAAGCAGGCACCTGTAATCCCAGCTACTCCAGAGGCTGAGGCAGGAAATTGCTTGAACCCAGGAGGCGGAGGTTGCAGTGAGCCGAGATCGCGCCACTGCACTCCAGCCTGGGTGACAGAGTGAGACTCCATCTCAAAAAAAAAAACAACAAAAAACCAGCCACCTGAAGCAATAGGAGCCAGGAAGAGAGGGCACAGCCAGCTTTCATCTACATGTTGGGGTTCCACATAAAATATCCTAGGAGTCACAGCTGACACAGGTTTTCCAAATCCCTAACTCAGTAAACTGACCCTGGAACCCGCTAAGGCAAGGGAACCGGATGCCTCCTCCCCCTGTTCCCAAGGGTTGTAGAGAAAGTTCAGCGAAAAGTGGTTCCACCTCCTCCAGGATAAGGACCAGGCAAGCCCCTGAGCCTGGCGTTCAGGGCCCTCTCTATCCCAGCCTCTGCTGACTTCCCAGTCCCATGTCCCAGTCCCCCAAGTTGTCACGTGGTTCCACCTTGGATTGGACACCCATGCCTCTGGGACTCGCCGAAACCGAAAGGAAAAGCTGACTGTCGACCCAAAAGTGTAAACGGATCTCCTGGCCTGAGAAGCAGGAAGGACGAAAGGGCACATCTCCAGGTCCATGAAGCTGGAAGGAGGCCAGGCCCTTAGGCAAGTGCCCTTCAGGGATCGGAGGTCACAGTGTGATGGGCATCGCCGGGGAAGGGGCTGGGAGCAAGCAGCAGAGTCTCCCCCGAGTCTGCCTCTGCAGGCCCAGCCCTGACACAGACGCAGCGCCAGTGTTCACTGAGCTCCTCCGCTCAGCAGACACCCCAGAGGGCTTCCTTCGAGTCCTCTCGCCGAATCTGTGTAGAGGCAACCGGTCATCAGGGGAAGGAGCTCGCTCGCCAGGCTGCCAGGGAGGACCGGAGCTGGAGACCCAGAGGTGGTTGGGTGAGCTGGGGGCGTTTGGGGCAGGAGAAGGGTTGCTCTGTCATCCTTATCCCAGAAGGACATGCAGACGATCCTTCCCATCAGACGGGAGTTGACGACGTCCAGATTCTCTCCCCATTGTCATCCTCTCCGATCCTCACAACAGCCCTGTGAGGTAGGCGGGGGTGCCTTCCCCCTTTGACAAATGACCACAGCAGGGTGGGAAGCTCAAGGCAGCCCCTCCTCTGCTCCCTTGGGCTGCTCCGCCTGAGGGGGCGGGTGGGTCTGTGGTTCCCTCGCGTGACTGGCTCTGGCTTCTGGCAGACAGACCTGCCTGAAGGGATGTTTGTTCTAGGAGCCAGAGCCCACTCGGCCTCTGCCAGTGGCCTCCCGACTTCCCAGCTGCCTCCGTGGCAGGAGCAGCCCCCAGAGGCAGGGAAGGAGGCAGGAACCCTGGCCTTGGTGCCTGGGCAACCCCGGCCTGGCCTCCTGGAGAACGTGCAGCCTTAGGCCGCCCCTGCCCCAGGACTGTAATGGTTGACCCCGTGGAGCAGCCACCGCCTCCTGAGATCAGCCGCACCCATCACAGTCATAGACACACAGCAAACGCAGCAGACACGCCCTGCAGCCCTGTCAGGACACACACTAGCATCTGTAGACTAACACGGGCCCAGGTACACACTCAGACACACTCCTCCAGATACACACACTGTGTGCACCCACATGTGCCCTCCCACGCACAGCCGTACACCTGCCGAGGCACAACCCCGAGGGTGGGATGAAGTCCACAGCCTCTCTAGGTCTCTGTTTCCCTGAGTTGCTCCCCTCATCCTCCATCCACGATGGGGCAGAGGCAGAGGCTGCCAGCCAAGGGGACACTTCCATAGCAATGTCCCGAGCCGTGGCAGCAGCTTCCTTGGGTCTCCAGGTAGAAACCATTCAGGACCTCCAGGTGCTGGTGCCGGCAGCCAGGCTGGCCTAGATGAGTCTCTCCTCCGGTGGCACCTTGAGGACACTGTCCATCTCCAGCCGGGCCCCAGCCACCTCCTGCTGGCTTGGGCTGTAGGTGCCCTCGGACTGGCGGCGCTTTCGGGCTGCCAGGATCCCTGAAAGGAGGCCCAGGAGGAGGAGGAGGAGGCAGGCACAGGCTGCAGGCACGGCCACCTCCAGCAGCGGAAATGGCAGCGGCAGGGGCACGCCCTTCTGCAAGAGACACAACACCGAGGCCTAAGACCACAGAGAAGGGGAGGACCCTGGGCCCTCAGCAGCACAAGGACCTGCTCAGAGAAAATCAGAGCTGGGAGCAGGCTGCCCTGGGAGCGGTGAAGACCCAGCCCCAGGGGTGTACAGGCAAGTGCCAGGAAACCACCTGTCAGAGCCACTGGCTCGGGGAGTCCTGTGCAAGAAAGGCGTTCTGGCTAGAAGGACAGAGACGGACACCCGGCAGGAGCTAAGCAGGGTGCGTGGGTTTCACAAAAGCCTACAAGGGTGAGATGAGGCAGAGCGGGAGCTGGGGCAGACTGAGCGGCCCCCTGCCACAACAGCCAGGTCAGAATCCACTGGCGCCTGCCTGCCGGGGCGGGGTGGCACAGGGAGCAGGGGACCGTTCTGACAGCTTGTCCCTGCAAGCCCTGGCCCAGGCTTCAGGGGGCCCAGCAAACCTCCTTGCTGTCTCCAATCCCAGGCTCCCAGGATGCCCCATCAAAGCCTCTACATGCCTGGGACTCTGAAGTCCCAGGATGCGAGGATTCCAGAGGCACGGGCTCTGGGACTCACCGGCCTCCCTCTGTACCTCCAGGCTTCTCAGCCCGCTGTGACCTGGGTCCTAAAACTAGAGAGGAAAGTCCCTCTGTCCTGAGAGGGCCCTGCCAGCCTCCACCCCTGAACATTTTAGGGGAGGAGCTGTAAAGCCATTTCCTTCCCCTGCCCTGGGAGGTGGCTGGGTGGGGAAGCCAGAGGCTGTAAAAGTTCAACTTGAAAGGAAACATTCGCCATAAGCGGAGGGGATTTGTGGTTTATGGCCCAGGCTGCCAGAGGCCTGTGGAGATCAAGGCTGCTCCCCAGACTACCCTTTCCAAGCCTCTCCTCGCCAGCACCCACCTTCCGCCCACCACCCCCGCCCCGAGGAAGGGGTGTGTCAGGGAGGGTCACAGCTCCAGCCCCTGCCGCCTTCGCCTTCCACTTCGTCTGTCCAGGCTCCTCCCGGACTGAGCCCCCTGGGGTTGGGGCCACCCTGCACAGTGGCCGAGCCTGCCCCAGTGCAGATTCCCAGGCCACCCCCACCTTGCCCCAGGTCTTCCAACTCAGTCTCCTGGATTCACCAGCCTAAATCCCAGAACACCAACATCCTCTTGGCCCTGAGTCCTGGTTGGATTGGCAGAGACCATCTGTCCTCACTGCCACTGCCCTGGGCACTCTGGGGAAGCCCCTGACCCAGCCAGGAGCTTTGTGCTCTTGTCAATAGATGGTGGCAGCCCCCAAAGCTCTCCCTGGCGTGGAAATACCTCCTGTGTGGGGGGTGTGGAAAGGACCTGAGGCTCCTCTCACTGCCCCACCCCATGACAGAGTGGCCCAGGAACAGCCCCACGGTGCTCTGCTCTCCCCAGCAGCATCAGCTCACCAAGGGCCCAGCAGGCCACGTCCACAGCCCCTCACCCCGGCAACACTCACCACCACTTCACAGAACTGGCCGGAGAATCTGGCATTGCAGATACATTCAGATACCCCTCCAGCTGCCCGGCAGGTGCCCCCATTCAAGCAGGGGTTGGTTTCACAGGGGAGGGCGGGGACCTGACACCTGGAGAAGGAGGGGGGCTGAGGAAGTGGCTCCCCCATGGCTGCCTCTTGTGCTCCCAGCTGCTCTGCTGCCCACCCCCACCTTCAGCAAGCATCAGAGCTTATCCGTTCACTGCCCCCATGCGCTGCTCCTGCCCAGCTGGGCCCTGCCAGGTGACCACCCGAGCAGCTATGACTGAGAAGGACTCTCCTCCCATTAGGGGGACTGGGGAGCCTGTGTGAAGGCAGGTGCCCCGGGAACTGACGCCACTGTCTGCAGGGCCCAGAATCTGCAATTTTATGGTCTCCCACAAGCGGGCTGAGGCTGTTCCCATGACTGCTACCAGGTCTGTATCACAGAGGATGGTCTTGGAAGACATGGAAGGAAACTCAAGTGACAATGGTGACCGTGATACCAGGGAGGGGTGAGAAGGTGGGCAAGGACCCCCACCCCACCCTGGCTGGAGGAATAGCCCTTCACACTCGTTGGACCCCCTCACAGTTCCCAGGCCCCCAGACCCACCTCTGGCCAGCAAGACCCTCCAGGCAGCTGCAGTTGGCAGCGGGAGAGCCACCCTCACACGGGCTGCCATCGAGGCAGGTGACATTCAGGATGCACTCCTTGGATGGGACAGGCAACCTGGGGAGAGAGCAGAGGCTGGAGTGGGTGCAGGATGCCTGGGACCTGCCCTCCCCAGTGCTGTGACCGTGGGCCACCTGAGCCTGTGTTCTCATGTATGGAATTCAGGGCCCTCCTCTATCCATCACAGGATTGCGGTCGCTGGTGGGAGGGAAGGGTCATTTACTTTCCAGAACCTCAGAGAACTCTGAGGACAACAAAAAGTAAGGATTCTGAACAAAAGCAGCTCCTAAACGCAACGCCTGGACATTCCTTGAGGGGAGAGGGAGGGATCAGGCCACAGCCAGATCCCCCTTCCACACCCTAAGCTCCAGGGAGAGCCACCGGGAGATGAATAAGAGAAGTGCCAAAGCCTGATCCCCTCCCTCCACCCCGACCAGTGACCAACAGGGATGAACCTCGGTGTAAGCGGCAGGCGCTCCCAGGCCCAGACATCATTGCTGTTTATCTGAAATTCCAAGCTAACTGGGTGTGTTTTGATCTGTGTTTTATTAGGAAATTTATCAAATTAAACTGTCCTCCTCATGTCACAGATAAGGCCACGAGGATCAGGGAAGGGAAGCGACTCATCCACAGACCTGGCAGACTTCTCTGCCCCACCAGTCCCAGGGGGCATTTGCAGCCCACCCCTGCCCTGGTCACCACCCCCTCCCGGGCCCGCGCCCCTGCCCAGCTGTCCCACCTGCAGCGCGGGCCCCCGAAGCCGGGCGGGCAGTGACACTCGAAGCGGCCGTCGGGGTGCGTGTGACAGCGGCCACGGGCGCAGGGCGCGGAGTGACAGGGGTTGACGTGGGCCTCGCAGCGCGGGCCCTCCCAGCCCGGTCCGCAGGCGCAGGCGAAGGCGTCGAAGAGGTCGCGACAGTCACCGCCGTGAAGACAGGGCGAGGGCGCACACACGGGCATGCCGCGGCAGCCGAGGATGGGGGCCGGCGTCCCAGGCCAGGCAGCGAAGTGCTCTCGGGCTCCAGGGGCCACGCCGGGTCGGGGCCACGCCAAGGGCAGGGGCAGGCCGCCCAGCGCCACGCGGCCCAGGCAGCCGGTGAAGTTCTCGGCCAGCAGGATGTGCGCGGCACCTGGGCCCTGCAGGAAGCCCAGGTCACCGGCCAGGCCGCGCAGCGCCACCGGGGTGGCTGCACCGTCCAACCACAGCAGCCAGCGCGAGGGAGCGGCCGCCGGGCGCTCCATGGCCAGGCGCACTCGGTGCCAGGCACCATCGGCCACGCGCGGCCCAGGTATGGGCAGCACAGCACCGGAGAGGCCGTGGCCTCCGCGCACGCCCCCCGCCAGTGAGCCATTGCGCACCGCTAGCCACACGCCTGCCAGGGCGCCTGCCGTGGCACGCAGCAGCCAGGCCTCGGAGTCGCGCGTGCGGAAGGCCAGCGACAGGCTGCCGAGCGAGGGCCCCGACGATGCGTTGTGCCCGCTGAACGCGACGGGGGGACCCTCGCGGAACGTGGCCTCCGCCACACCTGCGGAGAGAAGGAGCCTCAGGGAATGCCCCACGGAGCCTTCTCCAGAAATGCCACCTCCCCACTTCCCCCAGCGAGTGGCAGACAAGCCACTTACTGGGGGCGGGGCACACGCACCCATCTATCATCTAATCCTGGAAACTGCAGCCGCCCCTGACCACCCTCACTTTTACCCACAATGTATTTCCTACCCACGGAGGAGCAGTTCTGGGCCACTGCTGGGGGCGGGGAGGGGAGGGGTGTGGGGGGAAGTGTGTGATGCCTAGGCGACCCTCCAGGTCACAGGCTGGCCAACAGCAACTCCTGGCAGAATCTGGCCCCTTCCCTCCTCTGTGAAGCTGTGCCACCTTAACCGCCAAGGCTTGCCTTTCACTGCGGCCAGTCATCTTTGTAAAATGCAGATCTGGTGATGCCCCTCTCCTGCTTAAAACCCTCCGGAGGCTCCACACTGTCCTTGGGATAGAGTCAGAATGGCCTGACTGAGTGTCCTCAAAGCCCCTACCAACTTTCCCACCCTGTTCCTGCTGGCCCCTTGCACTTCCACTGTCCTTGCAGACCTCAGGGACTTTGCACACGCTATGCCTTTCCATAAAATGTCCTTTCCCCTGTGGCTCTCAGAGTCTGGCCTTGAAGCCCGGTACAGGCTCACCTTCTCCAGAAACTCTGTCCCTCTACATGCGGTGGCCCTGCCACACTGCCCTGGGGCTTGGCATGCCTGGTCCACCAGTATCCTACAAGCCCTGAGAGTGCAGATGGGATCTAACCAGCTTGGGTGTCCAGCAACCAGCACGGGAGCTGCGCAGGACACACACTCACACACAAAGCCATCAGGGACCTCCTCACACGTGGCAGGTGGGAGACAGGGCTGGCCGGGACACCACAGCTGCTGGGCACACGTAGGCCCTGTGAAATTGGCAGGGCAGGTACAGTGGAAGTCGTTCCAGGTGACGAGGCAAGTCCCACCATTGAAACAGGGGTCAGGCTGTGGGAAAGGCAGGGCAGGGGTTGGCTCAGGACTGCAGTTAGCATCACCCACCATAACCAGCATTGCAGTGCTTCTTCACTGAGCACCTACTAACAGACCCAGTATCTCCTCACAAACGAGTGGAGAGGAAGTCGCTAGCACCCCCATTTTACAGAGGAGAAAACTGAGGCTCAGTAAGGCAAAGCCACTTGCCTGAGTCACCCAGCCAATAAAGAGAGGAACCAGAGTTCATGCCCAAGCTGTTACAACTCCAGGGCTGGTGGAATTCTGTTCATGATCAAAAGGGTGTCCTGTTCCCCAAGTAGCTCCTGCAGAAAGGCTCGGGCAGCCTCTATCTCAGTCAGTGTGTCTCTCGCAGACCAGGACTGGCTGGGGGAGGCACGGGGACTGCTAGAGAGTAGGAGCAGCTGGGCTGAAGAGGCGGTGAATGCAAATCTGCCCTGCCACCTTCCTGTAGTGGGACCCCGGGCAGGTCACTTCACCTCCTCAGCCTCAGTTTCCTCATCAGCAAAAGGACACACTAAGCCCCAGTGATGTAGGACAGATCCTAGAACAAGGATCCCCACCCTCACCCCCTGGACACTTACACTGCACATGTCTTCGGAGACACAGCCTGCGGTGAGGTTCCAGGACTGCCTGCCGCCAAGCTCGCTCGGCTGGCTTGAGTTATCCAGTGGCAGAGGAAAGAAGGGGAGGTGGCGGCCATCGAGTCGCAGGTCCTGGAGGCAGCCTCGGAAGGGCCCACCCCAGGGCTGGCTGTCAGCAGCAAGGAGCCTCCCGCCCACGTGCATGTGCTGCCCCAGGTCCTGGAGCTGCTCAGGCCCGAAGCTGAGCGTCACCAGGTGACGCAGCCCATCATCCCAGCGCCCAGGGAGCACTACAGCAGGACCGCCCGGCGCCTCAGCCCGGATCTGACCCTCGCTCAGGAATACTGTCAGACCAGCTGCGGAGTCATTGGCAAACTGGAGCAACAGGCCAGCGGGCTCCCGAGTACGGAGAAGGAAAGACAGTGTGAGGTTGGGGCCTGGCAGCTCTTGAAGCAGAAAGGAGGCAGAACTTGGGGCGCCTCCCAAGCCAAAGGTGGCGGCAGGAATCTCTGCAGGGAGAGAAGGTGCCAGGTGTGAGGCCTGCAGGCTGAGGGAGCCAGATCTCAGGTGCTGCCTTCCCACCTGGCTTATTCCTCACCATCAGCACACGTGGGACCCCTATGGGGTCGAGGACAGTTGCAACGGAAATGAGTCCACAGATCCACGCAGGACCCTCCATGGACACAAGGCAGAGGCTGGCACTGCTCTCGGCGCTCGCAGCCCAGGAGGACGTTGTCGCCGAGATCCTCAGGCAGCAGGAGGTGCCCATCCACACGCACGTCCTGGAGACAGCCTGCAAAGGTCGTGTCCCCCAGCTGGGCGGAGGAGATCCCAGCAGGCAGTGGAGTTGCTGAAGCCGTGGGAGCCAGGGCCACAGGACCAGAGGCCACACAGAGCCGGGCAGGGCAGCCCTCATGCCAGAGCCGTAGCTCCAGGGTCGCTAGGTGGAGCACCACCTCCACCTGGTGCCAATGGCCATCGTTTAGGCCCAGGTCTGGCAGTCTCAGGACAAGCACAGTGGTGCCGTGGCTCCAGAGTGTGGCCTGAAGTGTGGCTGCCACCAATGCCAGCTCCAAGCTTTCCCTGGTGTCATTGCGAGTGGCCAAGGTCCCAGCAGGCAGCGTAGTGCGAAACCTCAGTGCCAGACCCAGGGGGCCACCAGCTGGCACTGATGCCTGAATGGGGCTCCCAGCCATCACAGAGAAGGTGGTATTCTGGCCACAGAAAGGTCCATGGGTACCAGGTGGGCAATGGCAGACATAACTGTGGACCCCAGACTCGAAGATAGGGATGCAGGTGGCAGCCAGTGGGCAGGTGTGGCTCTGGCAGCCAGTGAGCTGCACAGAACAGTCGCGCCCGCCCCACGTCTCTGGGCACCTGCAGATATAGCCTGCCATAGTGTCACTGCAGGTTCCGCCATGCAGGCAGGGATCTGACAGGCATTCATCCACATCTTCCTCACATGTCGGCCCTTTGGGAGAGACCAAGCCAAGGCTCAGTGATGTCTGGGGCCAGAACCACAGTACTGACCCAGAACTTACATGCCTCTTGTGATGGGGGCCTCAGTACCTATCAACCAAACCAATTCCCAAAGGATTTCTCATGGTCCTCTCAAGTCCCCTGTAGGCCAGAAGTCAAGATGTCCCTTCCCTTCCCATATCTGGTGAGTCTCCAGGCCCTGTAGATCTAATCTCCTAAACAATCTCCAGTGCCCCCTTTCTCCCACCCTCCATCTCCTGCCTTACCAGCTCTCTGGGCGACCATCCTGCATCCTCCAGTTCACCAGCCTTCAGAAGCCCTTTCCCATCCATCTCCACCAATAGCCAGAGGTCTATTTCTAAAGCATCACCTGGCCAGGTTCCTCTGCTGCTTCAGGTCTACCCTGACATTTAAGACGCCCTCATGGGATGGGTCCTACCAGGCTCTCAAGCCTCAATCCTGCTTCCCACAAACCTCGAACCTCCCATTCCTCCAAGCATTTCCTGGAAGGTCCCGACTCTGGGGCTTTGCTCATACTGTTCTACCTGTGGAATGCCTCATTCTCCCTTACCCTTCCTTTCAAACTCCTACTCATCCTGCAAAGCCTAAACTCAAAGAGCCCAGAGGCTTTCCCTAACTCCCAACCTCAAACTACTGTATCACTCTCCAGTCATAGGCACAGCTCCGCAGAACCCCGCATTAAACGTATTTGTTTACTTAGCTGAGATCTTCAGGGACCTGAGTATGTCCTTGGTGCCCAGCAAAGGGCCTGGCGTGGCTTTTATGGACAGAGTGATGAAATGGAGGAGCTAGCGGGGTAGTGCACGCACCTGAGGCACTCTGAGTGGCCCCCCAGGCTCCAACCCCTCAGTCCCTCTGCCCCAGGGCCCTCACACTGGCTGTGAAGGGGCTGCCTCATCCTACCTCCAGGGATCCCCTTCAGGTGCTCAGGCCCCAGCTTGGGCCAAGAAGCCATAGTCCACTGTCGCTCAGAAAGAGCCACATCCCAGCTGGAGGAACCCAGGCCCAGAGAAGCCACAGGGTTTGAAGCCCAGCCCCGATCAGCTCACAAATTCCACAGCTTCCTCCTAGGAACCACCACCCACCAACCTCCTCCTGCCCAGGGCCCACATTCCTCCATACCTGTCAGGAGCCACAAGTGGCCCAGGAAGGTCCACAGAGCCCCCGGCTCCATTGCCATGCCCTCCAGACAGGTTGAGAGTAGTGGGCGGGCACTGAGGCTGGGGAAGTGGGGAGGGACAGAGCTCCCTGCCCGGCCCAGTTGCCTCCTTCAGAGCCTGCTCAGGAATGCCAGGCACTGGCCTCCCCCATGCCCAGCACGGCCTAAAGGGAGGGAGGACAGGCAAAGAGCCCAACCCTGCAGCTGGGGTCCCCCCTCTCTGGCTCTGACCTCAGAGGTCTGCCCTCCCTGTCACCCAACAGCTAAGCTCAACTGGGAGAGGAGCCGGGTTCCCGCTGATACTGGTAAACCTGGGGGATGACACCCCCTCATCCTCTCAGCTGTAAGATGGGGTTTTAAACCCCTGCCTCATGGGGCTGTGTCAAGGAAAAAACAAGATGTAGAGCAAATGCTTCCCAGAGGCCAGACGTGCTGTGTGGGCCCACTGTGTGCCAGGCACCCAGGAGGCCATGGCTCCTGGGTGGAGGCAGTGGATGGGCCTTCAGGGCCCCCAGGAGTGTTGGCCATCCAGCGCTGGGGGACACTGAGTCCCACCATCCATCCAGGGCTGGGGGACACTGGGTCCCACCATCTTCAGGTGACGGAGGGAGGGGGAGATGTGATCACCATCTCTTTCCCCTGGTAGAGGAGGCTGTGCCCAGGAACCTGCCAGGGAGAGGAGGCAGTGTGCCCCAGCAGGAATGCGGGCGGGCGTGAGGGAGGTGTCGCAGGCATTCCAGAGGGGGCAGGGACATTCAATGTTGGAGGTGGAGTTCCCTGGGCTCACCGGTGTCCTATGTCTGTGCATCTGCATGCACCCAAGGCAGGGGGAGACTTTCTGAACCCCCAACTCCTGCCTGACAGGCCCCAGCTCCCCAAAGGTCAGAGTCATCTTTCTACAGATGCTGCCCCCTAAATCTCTGCAATAGCCCCTATGTCCTTCTCTGTCCTGGCTGAACCGCCTCCGTCTTTCCTGTAGACCGTCCCTCCACATGTTCTCCCAGACAACCTCAGCCCACTATGGCCCCAGCTGCTGGGGCTACACACCTGAGCCCCAGTCTCACCTCCAAAGCGAGTCCTAGTTCAGCCACCCTCAGCGGTCACCTGGGCCCTCATACCCACCTCCTCCCTGATCTCCTTAACCCCATCAATCCACACATCCAGACAGAAGGGACCTTCTCACCCGAGGACCACCAATTCTGATGGTGCCAGGGCCCACCCCACCCCAGACACCTGCGTAGCCATCTGGGCAGTGACACTGGAAGCCATTGGGCAGGTCCTGGCAGCGGCCTCCGTTGAAGCATGGCCGTGAGGCACACTCGTCCACCTCCACACCGCAGTCGGCTCCTGCAAGAGGCCCAGCTGTGGGTCCCACCTGCACCCTCAGAGCCAGGCAGGGGCTGAGAGGGTCTATTCTATAGCTAGGGAGACTGAGTCCAAGAGAGGGCAGTCGCGGGTGTGGGGTGGGGTGGGGGTGGGGCACAAGATCCCTCCCTGGGCATCTGGACACGGGCTGACCACTTCCCCAACAGGGGCTCACCCTCAAAGCCAGGAGGGCAGTGGCACACGAAGCCCACAGCGTGGCGGAAGCTGAAGGTACCAGGTAAGGTGGCCTGGACGCCCCCGTAGAGGGCCGGGTCAGAGCGCTGCAGGCATCGGCCCCCGTGCTGGCAGGGGCTCGATGCACACTCGTCCTCGTCCACCTCACACAGCTCGCCGCTGTAGCCTGGGGACACACACATGCAGACATCAGGTCTCACAGGGTTGCCGGGCAGCACCTCTTCAGCAAGGGACCGTGGCTCGGAATAAGCCACGAATGGCGAGGGAGGGACGCACTGAGGGCAGCAGGGATGACCATGACAGCCTTCAGCAGCAGCGGCCGATTGCTGCTGTTACTGGTCTTACTACTATTTTTCCTTTTTTTTTTGAGACAGTGTCTTGCTCTGTTGCCCCAGCTGCAGTGCAGTGGCATGATCTCAGCTCACTTCCACCTCTCGGGTTCAAGCGATTCTCCTGCCTCAGCTTGCAGAGTAGCTGGCACTACAGGAACACTCCACCATGCTCAGCTAATTTTTGTTTTTTTAGTAGAGACGGAGTTTCACAATGTTGGCCAGGCTGGTCTCGAACTCCTGACTTCGTGATCCGCCCGCCTCAGCCTCCCAAAGTGCTGGGATTACAGGCGTGAGCCACCGCGCCCGGCCTAGTCTTACTACTATTACTAGCGTTAATTACCGAGCCCTTTGCAGCTGTCAGGCCCCTCCCAAGAGTTTCCCAGGCGTCGCACCTTCACTCTCCCCGCAGCAACCCCAGGAGCAGGCGCTACGATCAGCCCTATTTTGTAGATCAGGAAACTGAGGCTCCGACAGGTTGCAATCACACACACACTCTGGTCCCGAGGACCCAGTAGGCACTCGCGCACAGTCACACATCTGCCCCGCCTCCCCAGGCCGCACGCGCGCACACCTACCCCTCCACCCCAGGCCACGCACGCATACACAGTACCTATCCGGCTACCCCAGGCCGCGCACCTGCATGCACACACCTGGCCAACAGAGGCAGCGGAAGCTCCCGAGACCCTCGAGACAGGACGCGTTGTGCGCACAGGGCGCCGATGCGCACTCCAGCACCTCCTGCTCGCAGCGCGTGCCCTCGTAGCCGGTGCCCGCGCAGTCGCACCGGAACCTGGGGAGGGTGCGCGGGCGGAGCTGAGCGCGTGCCCGCCCCTTCTGCCCCGCGCCTGGGCCTCTCCGCACTGGGGCACCCGGCGCCCCAACCCCCTGCCCCGCCACTCGCTCACCCATTGACCAGGTCGTGGCACGTGCCCCCATGCGCACATGGCTGGCTCTGGCACTCGTCAAGGTCCAGCTGGCAACGGGTGCCCCCGTAGCCCGGCGCGCACACACAGCGGAAGGAGCCCACGCCGTCCAGGCACGAGCCCCCGTGCACACAGGGCGCCGAGGCGCACTCGTCTACCTCCGTCTCGCAGGTCACGCCTGGACAGGGCAGGGGACACAGGGCGCAGGATGAACACCCAGAGCAGGGAGGAAGAGGCCGAGCCAGGCCTGCTGCAGAGTTAGAGATTCGTGGGTTCATTCATTCAGAGCCGGGTGGTGGTGGTGGTGGTGGGGCGGGGTGGGGGGGTCACGCCAGCAAAGGCAGGGAGATAAACGAGACAGACAACCTTGCCCTCATGGGGCTCACAGCAGTCTAGGCCAGTACATGGTGGGGGTGGGTGGGATTTGGCCAGTAGTTACGTAAATGAGCTGGGTTTTGATGTTGCCAAGTTCAACAAGGAAAGGGGTTGGGTCTTGGGAAAGCAATAGCCGGGGTCTGCTCTGTTCAGGGAAGGCTTCCTAGAAGAATAGGCTTTTGAAGGATTCAGATAGAGGACTGTGGGCAGCAGTTGGATTCCAAAGAGACTGCAGCAGGAGGCAAGTTCTGCTGCGGGCCAGGGCCATGATGCCCTAGGCGGGGTGCTTGGAGGGTTGAAAGCAAGGGAGAGGGTGGAGGAGGTGAGTCGGGTGGGAGGTGTTAGTGCCTTGAGGACCAGGTAACCTCCGGGTCCATCCTGGAAGTTTCAGACAGGTAAGTGACTTGGTCCCACGTACATTTTAGGTTTTTTGTTTGTTTGTGTTTGTTTTTTTTTAGACAGAGTCTCGCTCTGTTACCCAGGCTGGAGTGCAGTGGTGCAATCTCAGCCCACTGCAATCTCTGCCTCCGGGGTCCAAGCGATTCTCATGCCTCAGCCTGCAGAGTAGCTGGGATTACAGGTGCATGCCACCTCACCCAGCTAATTTTTGTATTTTTTGGTAGAGAAGGGGTTTCACCATGTTGCCCAGGCTGGTCTCTAACTCCTGGCCTCAAGTGATCTACCCACCTCGGCCTCCCGAAGTGCTGGGATTACAAGCATGAGCCACCGCACCTGGCCCTACCTATTTTTTAGAAGGTCCACTTTGGTGGCTTTCAGACCCCAGAGAGGCAGGAGATGCTTGAGTAGGGTAATCACTCCTCCTGGTGTCCCTGCACTGTCCTGGTTTTAGAACTGAAAGTACCAAGTACTAGGAACCCTCACAGTCCTGGGCAAATCAAGACAGTTGCATGGCTCTCCCATGGTGAGGGTGAAGAGGAAGGGAGATGGAGAGTCCCGGGTTTCAGATACACTGCCTGAGATCATCCTGGACTCACGTGTCACTGTAGACTCCAGTGAGCCCTGCCCCCTAAGTGGGTTTGGTGAAGGGGGGGGCCAGAGGCCCAGCTGACTCCAGCTGGAACCCTCCCCCTTCTCAGTTCATTGAGCACAAAATATGGCCCCACCTTCCCGTGACCCTTCCCTCATCCCTCCCCATCCCCACTCCCACCCTCTGTGCCAGGGGGAGCCAGGCCTCGTCTGGAAATCCCAAACTCCCCCACCCGGCTTGGAATGGAAAGAGGAGAGTATGAGTCACGGCAGATGCTGCCCCCACTCACATCCACAGCTTACCCAGGAAGAGTCACCCGAAGTGCGCGAGCACTACACATCCGGGTGCACAACCCATTGCCCGCGCAACCCACTGCCCGCGCAACCCACTGCTCACACATGCACTCAGACTGCAGAGACACCCCCAGGTACTGGCAGAGCTTTACGGATGCAAAACAGATCTTGGAACTAGGAGACACACAGACGGATGTGACCTGCACTGGCATGTACACTAATACACCCAGACACCGAGACACTGGAACGATGAGAAAGATGCATGGAACCAGCTTCCCAAATCTCTCTTCATCAGCTGCCATCGCTTCGCTATAGGCCCCCTGCCCTGCAACTCAGCCCCCCAATCTGTACCCCGTGCTCTGAGGTAACTTCAAACTGCCCCCTGCCCTCAGAGTACAAGTGTCTGAATTCAGGATTGAAGTCGAATCCAGAGCATCTACACTGCAGACTCTAGACTGCCCTGGACTTAGCCTCGCTCCCAGACCTGTCCCCAGCTACGCCCTCCTTCCCGACTTCAGGCCTCTCTAGGAAGCCGCTCCAGGATGCCCTCAGCTCAGACCATGGATGGGCCTGGGACGGGCCACACTCTGGAGAAGGTACCCTCAATGCCAGTCACTTTTCTGAGCACTTACGTATATATTATCCCACTCCAGACAGCAGCAAGCCCTGGGGTACGTCAACATTACAGTTTGAACGAGACCATGTATGTCTCTATGCTAGAACTCTGGGGGAGACCCAGAGGCCAGGGATCCACATTGCATTCCAGACCACATCAGGAGTGTTCAAATGAGCTAATGGTGCTTGTCATGTCGACGGTGTCTACATGACAGCTTGGCACAGGCCTGAAGTAAGTGCTAGAAAGACTATCTGGGCATCCTCACTAAAGTCACGCCAGGCATGTCCACACTGCCAGAGATGTCTGAGGGGTATCTCCACCCCCAGAGCCAAACTGAACTCGAGGCTGGACTGAAATCACATTTATCGAGTGCCTGAGATGTGCCACACACCATGCCAGCACCCGCACATACATACTCTCACCCAGAGCTGCCAGGTAAGCCCGCAAAGCATTAGTTCTGTAGTCAGACCAAGTGGGTATACCCTAGAGCTGCCCGGATACCTGGGGGCGTCCGTCCCTACACCAAAGTCAAAGCTGAAGCCACAATGCTTGCACTCTGAGCAGCTGATGGGATCCGTATCACAGACCTCCTCCCAGGGCGGCCCAGGCTGTTACCTGCATAGCCAAGGGGGCAATGGCACTCGTAGCGATCGGCCAGGTTGTGGCAGGTGGCCCCATGGTGGCACGGCCGGGATGCACACTCATCGATGTCCAGCTCGCAGCGTGGGCCCTGGAAACCCGGCACGCAGTAGCAGCGGAAGCCATCGGGATCCAGACCCTGGGGCACACACAGAGCGCCGTGGTGGCATGGCTGGGTGGCACAGCCCCGGGGCTCTGTGGGCCCGCAGGTATAGCCACCACTCTTGGTAGCCTGGCACTCGGTCCCTGGAGCACACGGGTCTGAGGCACAGGCACTGGGGGGCTCTGAAGGCACCGTCCCTGTAGAAAGAAGAAACTGGCTGGGCAGGGTGGGCAGAGGTTACAAAGACGATCTCCTCCCCACCCTCTCAGGCCCACCCCAGACCCCGAAAGCAACATGGGTCTCTCCATGCACAGGATGGATGGAGGGTCAGGGGTCTGCAAGCCAGGTCCCAGTAAGCTGCACACGTCTACACCCAGAACTGGCAACGGTTTTAGGAGAGTCTATATAGCAGAGAAATAGGACCAAGGATGCCTGGCTCCTGGGCAGGATTAGTGAGCAGAGGCTCCCTGACGCTGTGAGCTTCCCTCCACTGTCTTGTCCCTGCAGGCCCCCTTTGAGGTAGGGTCTGCCATGCCCATTGCACCCGACAGCAAAAGGAGGCCCAGGAAAGTAAGTGAAGGCTTGCTGAGTCTGCTCGGCCCTGTCCACTTCAAACAGCAAGTTAGTGTTCGCTGGGACAGGCTTCAAGGTCTATCCGGGTTATTTCAGCTCCGCCTAGGGAGGGGTCTGCCCCTGCAGGCCCCATCCATCTGAGGAGGTCCAAGAGGGCGAGGCTCCTCCCACTGTCCCCTCCACCTCTTCTGCCAGGGGTCTGGTAACTCCATCCCTGGGTGAAACTGGAGATGGGCTCGACCTCAACCTCGGGAGGATGGGTGGACAACTTCAAAGGCAGGGATCGCGTGCTCCGCTGGTCTCATTCCTACCCCTTCTCTACCTCACTACCCCCCACACCCTGCACCAGCCACTGGCCTTGGAACTTCTAGAGGGTCCCTGGCCCTCATTTCATCCCCCATCAGCAAACACCTAAGTGGCCAGCCTGGCCGAGGTCGTGTGGTACAGAGCAGGTACTGAGATGGCTCACGGGACACCTGCCCCAGGCCACCGTGATGCTTCCAGCACTGGAGCTCTCTCTAACAGAGGGTCGCCAACTGGCTTGGAAGCCACGCCCAGAGATCCTCATCCCCCTTCCTCTCTTCCTGCCTTCCTGAGAGCCTTGTCACCCCAATGCCCAGGCGAGGGACTTGGGCTTTGAAGTGAAACAGCCCTGGGTTCAATTTCAGCTCAGAAAGTTACTATGAGACCCTGGGTAAGTCATTTCTCCCACGGAGACTCCGTTTCTGAGTCTGAAAGCTGGATAATAGAACCCCCTCATCAAATGCTGAGCTATTCAACCCCTCCGCACCGAAGTCAAGGGCTGCTTTTGGTAGGAACTCGGTAAGGATGGGGGAGGGGAGCCTCCAGAAGACACAGCCCCCATTCCTTCCCCCACCCCCACCTGCAGCTCCCAGAGGTGCCCCTCCCCCACCCAGGTTGTCATCTAGACACTAACCAGACCCCAGAATGGCTCAGACCCTGCACCCTTCCCTCCCCCACTCTGGTGAAGCCCCCCAGATAAGGCTGGCAGCCTCTCAGGCGTCATCCGCATTCCAGGCAGGGCTGTCCTGTGGCCTGACCCGCATCCTTCCAGCTCCCTCAGGAAAGGGCACAGGTTTGGGGCACCGGGCAGTCCTGGTTTGTATCTGGGGTACAAAAAGTGCCCATCTCGTGGAGGTGTTGAAAGGATTCACCAAGGTGATGTGGGGCACAGCCCTGAGACTAGGTGTGGCCAGCACTGCTCAGGAGGGTGCAGCACTCATAACCCATGGTAAAGGACCCCGGCTGCCGGTGCCTGTGCCAACAGGCCCCTCACTTAATCCCCCCACAGAGCACTGTCCCTCACCTGCGCAGTACAAGGGACCCGCTCCCCCCATCCCCCTCCCCCCGCTCGCTGCCATCCAACCTGAAGCTTTGTCCCCTATCTCAGAGCAGTTGGGACCGTGCCGGGGAGGCAGCACCAGGGAAAGGATCCTGGGGGGCAGGGGAGGTGCCTTGTCACAAGGGATCTTCCCAGGACCGTGGGAGCAGATGGGCTGTAAATGACAGAGCCCTGGAGACAGAGTCCAACCCCATGGCAGGAAGGAGTTTCTCCAGTCAGAGCCAGGAGGGGAGGGAAGGGAAGGAGCTGCCCGTCCTGGGAGGCATGCAGTAGTGCCACAGTCCTGCCTGGGAGGGACAGCCATCTTTCTTGTGTCATCTCGGTTGATCTTGGCATTTACCCTCCGAGGTGGACAGTATGATGATCCCCGTTTTACAGCTCAGGAAAGGGAGACTCGAAGCAGCCTCACCGTCCACGGCCCGAGTGAGGCTGGAATCCAAACCCAGGGCCTCACTCTAAGCTTCCCGGAATCACCGGGGTCCACATTAAGAATACAGATTCCTGGAGCCCACTCCAGACCCCACATTTAGAACTGGGCCCTGAGCCTGAGAATCTGCATTGCAACCTGCTCCCACGGGATTCCTTTCACTTTTAGGTGTGGGAACCGCTGACCTCAGGTTGTCTGTCTTCCAGGAGTGAGCCTAGGAGGCCACCATAACCCAGGCCAGACAGGAGGGGCAAGGAGGGGCGGGGTGTGGAGGGCAGCAGGGCGGAGGAGGGGCTGTCCCCTGGCCAGGCTGGAGGGGCGGGGCCTGTTGCCAGGGCAACGAGGGGCCTGTGCTTATCTTCACAAATCCCTCCTGACCTCAGGCTGCCTGGGCCGACCTGGCAGGGAGGGATTAACGGACACCCGCCCCTCCCCTTCGACCTGCTGCCCTGTCCTGGGGAGGGCAGGAGGACCCAGCTGTTTACTGAGTGCTTACTATGTGCTTGGGCCTGTGCGTCTATTATTACATTGTTATATTTGATTCAGACCAGAAAAGGTGGGTGCTATTAAGAACATTTCTGTTTTTGTAACTCAAAGAGGTTGATACTTTTGCCCCAGGTTGAGATGAAGAATCAGATCCACTCCTGATTTCCCAGAGGTCCACATCTCCCAATGCATGTGAAATTTCCACTTTGCAAACGCTAAATTGCCACCCACATATTGTCACTTCAATACATTTTAACTGCCTCACCCTGGAACAAAATCTCTACAGGTTTTCACAGGAATACATCTTCCAATATCAGCCTGGGCAGAGTGGGCAATCGTCCCCGTGTATCCAAAACCCAGCTGTTAGCAATCCCACTGTGTCTCAGGCCTCACTCATTAGTAACACCTACTTTTCATGCACTTATAATAGGCCTGTTTATAACAGCCAACAACTGACGAGAAGTGTTTTACTGAAGCCAGGGGTAGCGGCTCACACCTGTAATCCCAGCACTTTGGGAAGCCTAGGTAGGAGGACCACTTCAGGCCAGGAGCTCAAGACCAGCCTGGCAAACATAGTGAGACTCTGTCTCTACAAAAACAAAACAAAAAAAAATGAGCTAACCATGGTGTGGGTCCCTGTCGTCTTAGCTGCTTGGGAGGCTGAAGTGGGAGGATGGCTTGAGCCAGGGATGTTGAGGCTATGATTTCATCACTGCACTGCAGCCAGGGCAGCAGGGTGAGACCCTTCCTCAGACAAAAAAAGAAAGAAAGAAAGAAAACCCACAAGCAAAAAAAGAAAGTGTTTTACTGGGGAAGCTTCCTTTCCCAACAAATCGAGAGACAGAATATTTCTAAGAAGCAACCTAAGACCTCCTAAGGTGTGGGAACTTCTAGCATAGGGGAAGAAATTGTTCATCTAATATCCCTGCACCCCAAGGCTCTACCCCCGCAAGGGTAGGGCTAGATAACCATGGAGGCTTACAGACGCTCACTCAGTCATCAGGGAAGGGTGAAATACTATTTTGGGCAGAATAATTTGGAATACTCTTTTTCAAAACTGTTTACCTTCTGAGGTTAAAAGACATAATTCTGATAACAGTAATTGCAGCAATAGCTGTCAGGGACGGAGCACCTACCCCGTGCCTGGCACTGACGAACCCTTGAGTTTGGGCTCAGAGCACAGTTCCAATGAGTTACCTCCTGAAGTGAGGGGGAGACAGAGCAGGCGGGGTTCCCCACCTGCCACCCAAACAGGCCACTTCTAACAATTTTACTATTCACGGTTCGTGGGCTTCCGTCTAAAATTTCCCTTGAAATTGGAGGTTCCATGCCAAAACCTGGGGTGGGGAACCACTCACTCCCTTCTCTTCGAATCCTTGTACTAGCGCTCAGAGTGAGCCAGTCCTCGTTTTGGGGAGACAGAGAAGAGAGGCGACTTTGCCTAGGCTAGTAGCACGGTGTACTGTGAAATCCCAGCACTGGCTCTGGGGCTGCCTGGCTCTGGGACTGGCCATCTCTGGGCCTTGTTTACCTCCTCTGTAAACTGGGGGTATCAGAGCCGACTTCATAGGCTGTTGGGAAAATTAAATTAGACCTTGTTAATAGCACAGTGGCTGCCATGGAGTGGCTGATCTTATTCATCAACAATTATTTACTTGAGGCAGACACCCACTGTCCAAAGGATCCTGACATTGGGTTGAATGTGTGTGTCTTTCTGCTCCATCTCTGCTTCTGTCCCGAAGGCTCCCACCGCCTTCTGGCTGGAGGAGGGGCCGGACTTGGGGCCTAGACTCACTGCCCCTTTGTCTGCTGGGCTCCCTGGGTGTTCGGGGAAGGGAGGGTGGATATGAGAGCCCAATGTGCCCCATTGTACTCCAAGATGCTTGGTCCTCTCCATGGCAACCAGCCGGGCCTTTGTGGCAAATTGGGACCAGGATGGAGGGGCCCAGCTCAGGGCCTGGCAGGGGTGGGGAGCAAAGCCAGGGGCCCATGGCCTCCAGAAGCCCCCATCCCCTCCAGGATGGAAACTGGTTTTCAAGTGACAAAATCCCCAGTCACTCCCCTCCCGGCAGGCAGGCTAGGGTACCAGTGTGCAGAAATGGTCATGCCTGCAGTGTCCCCCGCCAACTTTTAGGGATCCCCAGGGATGGGGCTCCCAGCACAGAAATGGCAGAGGAAGGGCTGCCCGCTCCCGGGTGCCCCAGCAGGCCTGATGGGGTGAGAGTATACACAGTGTCCAGACCACCCACAGCCTCCATCCACTGTGTGCCTGCAGGTCCTCTGTGAGTGCACAGAGTGTGAATGTACATATGTCCACACATGCGTGTTGGGGTGTGCACATTGGTGTGCAAGCACATGCCATGTGTGTGCACATGTGTGTAGGTGCATGTGCTGGTAGATCCACGTGTCTGTGGCACCTGTCCCTGTGGCGCTGTGTGCCCTTGGGCGTGCCACACAGGTGTGTGGAGTGTGGGTGTGTGAGCACAGGGCAGGGGACAGAGCCCGGATCCACAGACCGGGATCTCATGTGCTTTGTATGCAGAGAACAGAGAGGAGCAGCCACCACCCCCCACCATGCCCCGCCCCCTACAGGGTCCAAGTCACCTGCCAGCAAAGCCCAGCTCGTAAGTCCCCGTTCCTCTCTGAGCCTTGGTTTCCTTCACTATAAAATGGGGTCCACATCCTCCCTAGGGCCCCATAGAGAGGCTAGGAAATGAAAGCTTTGTGAGTGCGGGAAACATGAGGGTCCCCAGGTGGGACTGGGAGAGGCTTGGCCCCCACACCCTGCAGCCTGCGGAGCTCTGAGGCAGGGAGGGCTCCCCCAGCCTCAGGGGAGCCCAGGCCCTCCTTGGCTGCCTCCCCAGCCTGTGGTGGTGGTGGTGGGGGCAGGGGACTTCCCATGCCCCGCCCCTGTAACTATAGTAACTAACACCAAGCGTTCCCTTGGACCCCCCAGGAGGAATTCCAGCCTCCGAGACCTTGGACAAAAGCAAAAAGGGCTTGGCGAACGGGGTCTGGCTTCAGGGAGCCCTTTCAGATTGGCCTTGGAATGCTGGGGAGGGGGCGGCAGGAGACACACACGTTCCCAAATCCCCAGACACCCCGCAGGGACCCAAAGCATCCCCAGCAGCCCCCAGCTCGCAGGCAGGGCTACCGCACAAATGCAGGGGCGCGGGCAGGGCTACCGCACAAACGGAGGGGTGCGGGCAGGCACCCAGCTCCCTAGCTCTCCCTCCCGCTTCTCCACCCAGTCCCCTGAGTTGGGGTCTGCGGTGCCCATCCCACACCCCTCATGTTGAGAGCAAAGACCCAGTTCAACCCTGGACAACTTACACCCCACAGCGCGTGCTGGGACACAGCTCACCACACCCAGCTCCTCCGACACAACTCACGGCTCACCCCAGACAGCTCATCTACCTCCCAACTCTAACACACCCACAACCTGTGCCCCACAACCCAGCATGCGACTCAGAACAGGCTCCGGGGTGAGGCTCATGCCACCTGCAACTCCCCAAACTCAGCCCCTAGAAACCCAGAAGTTTCCCAGCCCCAACCCCCAGCCCTTTACAGGATGCAACAGAGCACCTCCCAAAACACGCACCCCATCCCTCACCCGCATCAGCTCTCTCAAATCACGCCCAGCCCCCAATGATCCAACCCTGAAACTTACAACCCCCAACATGAAACAGCCCCCCAAGTCTCAGAACACACTCACCTCCGTGGAGCCCCACAGAGTCTGGGGGCCCACAGCCGCGCACTCCTGTGCACCCCACAGCTCAGGCCTGCACCCACGCGGACCAGCCCACCCGCCGCCCCAGCAGCCAAGGCTTGGGGTATCTGCCCTAGGGGACAGATCCTCTCCCAGGCCCCTCCAGACATGGGCCCCAACTCACCAGCCAGGAGGGAAAGGGCAGGGGCCCAGAGCAGCAGCAGCAGCAGCAGCAGCAGCAGCAGCAGGACATCCGCCAGGGGCTGGGGGTCCCGGGTCCCAGGCCTGGCCAGCGCCATGGCAGCCCGCTCTGCTCGGCTGCTGTGGGAACCGGAGGGCGGCCTGGCTGGCTCCGCACCCCCCTCGTCCCTCCAACCAGCACTAATGCTGTGGACAGAGGCCCAGCCCCTCCCTCCCCTCCCCGCCGCCGCCTCCTCCTCCTCCCACCCAGGCCTCCTGGGCTGCTCCACCTCGTGGACGTCCCCAGACATCGGCCCCAAGTCCCCAAGGCCCCCAGCCTGTGGTGCCGACCTGGTCTTGGCACCCACCCGTTTCTCCCTCTTGACCCCCTGCCGCACTCTCCTCCCACCTTTCGGGTCAGCCTCCTTGGAGAAATTTCTGTTCTGAGGGGCTGTTCAGAACTCTCTTCTCACCAGGTAACGCCAGCTACTCCCAAGTCCTTAGTTATCCCCTCTCCTGGATCTCCCCTCCCCACCTCTCCAGCCCAGGCCTCTCTGCCAAGCCCAGGCCTGCGAGTCTCCCTGCGAGACCGACTGACCCTGTGTCTACTGGGAAGCTGCAGCCCCTCCCACCCAGCTCATTCCCCTACCTGCTGCTCCCCAGTGCTCCCACAGGAGCCAAGGTACCTCCCACCCTGCAGCCCAACGCCCCCTCCCCACTGCCCCCTCCCACTCCCCACACCCAGTCAGCCTCCAGCTCCTGACCATGCCACCTTCTCAGTGTCTCCTGCTGTCCCCACCCCGTCCCACCCGGCCACACACAGCTCCTCCCACCATCGGCCTCAGGATCAGACCTAGGCACCTCAGCCCTGCACCACGGCAGCCCCTGCCTCGCTCCACCCTCTCCACCCCTCACCGGCCGAACTGAACCTTTCCCAGCTTCCTTCCACTTGGCCTTGATCTCTGGCTCTGCCGTTTGCAACTCCAGAGACCTCACTGCAATCCAGAGCAGCCCATTCTACTGAACGGCAGCTCTAACCAAGCAAGCATTGCTCTCCCCTGCCGGGAAGTCCTTCTTGTTGTCTAACCTTATAGTCTCCTGCTGCACTCGATGTTTGCTTGCTCTCCAGCTGGCCTCTTGTTGGGGTGGACAGGAGGAGCTCTTCAAGGAAACCTGGTTCAGGAATCCAGGTCATCTCAGAGACACTACAACATAAAACAACATTACTTTCTGCCACTGCCCTCAGCCCCAGCGGGGAGAGAATCCTCTTGCTGAAGGGACTTTCCTGAAATGAGCCACCGGCCCCTGCCAATGCATGCCTGTTTGTCCCTATTCAGTAACCGTGGATACAGCCCACGCAGGCCCTGGGCTCTGGGATGTGTCTCTGACATGGGAGGACACAGCCTGGAAAGACAGCAGGAGCCATTGAGGGAGGTCCAGACGAGCTAGAGGGATGGACAAGGGTCCCCTGCAGTGCACAGGAGGGAGCGGTGGGCACCATGCAGGGCCTGGTTGACCCTCTAGCCCGGGGCAAGTGCCGCAGCCCTGGGTGCCCAGGAGCCCTAGAAGGGAACACAAGAAGCCCTGGGCAGACCCCTTATCCACTGCCCCTACCCCATCCCCACCCTTGAGGCCGGTTCTCTGGGACAGGGATTGCCCCTTGGTTTCTGGGACCCTAACCTCTCAGTCCATCTTTAATCCCCTGCCTCCCCAGTACAACAGGATCTCCCCTCCCTAGGTGGGAGAAGCCCCTCTCCATGCCACAGGAAAAGCAGAGACCTTACAGCTCAAGAGATCTGGGTTCGACCAGATCAGCCACTGATTAGTCAGTGACCTCAGCACGTGACTTCCTTCTCTGGGCCTCAGTCTCCTCACCTGTAAAACCATGAGGCATTAGTGAGCCGAGGCAACAGTGCCAGCCCTCTTTATCCAGCTTCTCGGTGATCCCCCAGAGACCCAGGCAATCCCAGTGGGGGGTTGGGGGGAGCACGGCAAGTCAACCACAGCCCTCTGGTTCTCTGGATGCACAGACACAAACTCCCACACGTTCACAGAGCGGGGAGGTCACCGGGCGCAGGTCCAGGCTCCTCTGCAGCCCGGCCCCCAGCACTGTCCTGCAGCTGCCATGCTCCACCTTGTGGCCAGACCTGGAAATGTCCTGCGAGGTCCGGAGGGCGTGGAGTGTGGGGAGCGGTCCCCGACAGCACCAGGTGCGGGAGTCCCATGTGACAGGGAGGAAGCCAGGGAGTTGCTGGGCAGCAGGCAGGATGGAGTTCAGACAGGGGCGCACCTCCAGATCTGGCGTAGTAGGAGTGGGCCAGCCCCTCTGAGACGGTCCCCCAAGTGCATCCACTTCCACCGTGCTCCCCACCTGAGAAGGGAATCAATATAACCTCAGTTTACCCCCTCCCCCCACCAGCAGCACTGTAAGGTCAGCATTGGCCCCATTCTATGGATGAGGAAACCGAGGCACAGAGAGGTGAGGTCAGCCCAGCACCAGTGCCTGGCAGGATTCGAGTCGGGTCTGCCCGACTCCAACCTTTCCACCGGTGACCCTCTGACTGCAGGTTACTAATTGCCCCTCCGCTAGCCTGGCTATGACTTGCTGCCACCTCCCTGGCTGAGGGGACGCTATCCTGGGCCGGGATACCCGCCGACTCTCAAGCTGATGGGCAGATGCGACAGCAAAGCTCGGTGGGTGGGAGCCCCAACTTTGTCATCAGGCAGACCTGCGTTTGAATCCAGTTCCTGCTCTCTGCCCTTAAGTGAGTTTTTGTCGGTCTGTTTCTTTTCCGAGTCTCAGTTCTCCCATCTGTAAATGGGATCATCACAGCATCTGCCTGAGAACATTGCAAGGGCTGGGCAGCTGCTGCCAGAGGATAGTGCTAGCAGAGGATAGCTGCTGCTCGCGGGAGGATAGTGACCCTCCCCACCAAGGAGCCCACCAGAAGGAACCCCTTCAGACCCTTCCAGGTGACTCCTGCTCTGGAGTCATCCCTCAGGGTCCCGCATCTCCCTTCTCAGGGTCTCACTGGTTGTTCTGTTTGTCCCTACTCCCCACCCAGAACCACCCTTGCCTTGCTGGCACCTGTGGGCTGTGTCACGCTGGCTCCCTTCCATCTGCCTTCTGGAAAGGTGGGCCAGTGGGAGGCACAGGCCGGAGATGCCAGGGAGAGAGGAGAGGCAGTATTAGGCACTGCCTGTATTAGGCACTGGGGTGAGAGTGACTGCAGCTCCAGCTGAGGTCCCTTCAGCTCTCACGGCCCAGGTGCCCCCTGCTCCCTCTGTGGCTGAGTCTGGGGCCACCATCAGCCCTGACCTCATTGGGTCTCTCTCAGGCCTTCTCCATTGTCACCCATGCCCTCCCTTCTTGGAACTCTGTCCCTGTGGCCTCCCCAACCCCTGCTACCCTGGTCTCTCTACCTCGTTAACTGTTCCTCACTCCTCCTCCCAGAATGTTGGGACCCGCCCGGGTCTGTTCCCAGCCCCCTGGCCCCCTCACTCCACATTCCTCCCTGGGCAAGAGTGTCCATGCCCCAGCTTCAGTGACCAGACTTCCACTCCCTCCCAGCCCAGCTCTCACGGGCCCTCCACCAGTGGTGCTTAACCTTGTCTCAACATATGTATGCTTGTAACTGCCAAAAGAAAAACCATCCCAGTGCCCTAACTGAAATATCAGAGGCAGGCACTATAGGCCAGTGGTGAGGTGCACAGATGCTGATTCAAATCCTGGCTTCTCCACTTCCCAGCAGCACTGCAAAGTCAGCATTGACCCCATTCTATGGATAAGGAAACTGAGGCACACAGAGGTGAGGTTGGCCCAGCACCAGTGCCTGGCAGGATTCGAGTTGGGTCTGCCTGACTCCAGCCTTGGGTAAGTCACCTCTCTGTGCCTCAGTTAGCTCACTCGTAAAAAAGAGACAGCAACTACACCTTACTGCATAGACTTGTCTTGAGGATTAAATGATAATTACACATCAAGCATTTAGAAAAGTGTCTGGCAGTGTCAAGAGTTAAATGAATGTTGATTAAATTAATACATAAAGGGCCAGGTGCAGTGTCTCATGCCTGTAATCCCAGCACTTTGGGAGCCGAGATGGGTGGATCACCTGAGGTCAGGAGTTCGAGACCAGCCTGGCCAACATGGCAAAACCCTGTCTCTGCTAAAAATACAAAAATTGTCCGGGCATGGTGGCACATGCCTGTAATCCCAGCTACTCAGGGGGTTGAGGCAGGAGAATCACTTGAACCCAAGAGGCGGAGGTTGCAGTGAGCTGAGATCATACCACTGCACTCCAGCCTGGGAGACAGAGTGAGACTCCATCTCAAAAAAAAAAAAAAGGCACATAATGAAGGTAATTTAAAGTGAACCATCATTTCAAATTGTAAATACTCCTGTTGAGTACGCTATGCTAGCAGACACAATAAAACAATGAGGAGTGTGCACCTACACAGAACTCCACTGAATGTGACAGCCACAGATGCAGACCAATGTGGAGAAGGTCCTGTTGGCCGCTCAAATCCCACGAGAACATCTGCCATGAAGTATGTAGTTTTTCAAACTGGTGGCAAATCTGGGTAAGGCTCCAAACAAGGCGCAACCATCCTACAACGTGCATGGAAGGCGTAGTTCTGGCAAATCCAGTCTTTGCTAATAACCGCGCAAAGATGCTCTCCGTTTCTAGGCAAGCCAGACACGTGCTCTAATCTTGGACTATTACAGACAGGTGTTTTCCCTCTGCACGTGTGGCTGGCAGGAAATGCAAGAGTCAAATAGCACGTGGGCCAACCCTTCATGATGGGGACTATCCCTAACATCACAGGGCGTTTGGCATCCCAGGCCCCATCCACTAACTTCCAGTAGTGCCCCCCAGTCATCGTCACTGAAAGCACCCCCAGAAGTGCCCAAAGCAATGCCCAGGAGGCCCCTGGGTTCCACACCAACTGCCAGAGGGATTTTTTTCAAACCTCAAATGGTGTCTCTTGCCTGGTGACCCCCAGTTGCACGAAGGCTAAGTCTAAATTCCTGAGGCTCACGCCCAGAGCCCTTCGTGACTCAGTCCCTGGCACAAACACAGATTGGTATCCTCAGCCCTCAGCTCCTACGCCCACCTCTCTACCATTCAGCAGCTCTCCCTCTGCCCCTACTAAAACACACACACACACACACACACACAGACACCCCTGGGCCAGTGGCCAAGTGTTGCCGACAAGTCTTTGATGCCAGGGTCTGCTCCCTGGAATGCCCGCCCCGCCCCCACCTGACTGAATGCCTCTTGACACCGCCCTGATCCTTTCCGACTCCAGCTCTGGCATCATCTCCTCAGAGAAGACTTCTCTGCTCCCCACCCCATCCCCAGGCTTGGTCGGGGACTCTCCTAGGCTCCCACAGACCCCTGGGCTTCCCTTAAGGCCCCCAGCACTGACCCTACCCTGTTCTAGTCACCACTGCAGACATCTGCACCCATCCTAAGGCAGGCATGTGGTAGGTGATGAATACACAGATGAGAATCGCTCAGTCCTCACCATTGGGGAGCTCATGCCTAGAGGAACAGACTCAAGGGCAAGACAGAGAGGGGCTGGATCCGAGCCCAGTGAGACCCCCAAGAGAAGGCCAGCTGCAAAAGAGCAGCTCCCCAGGGGAGGTACCACTGTGGAGTGAGAATAGGAGTTTCCAAGTGGAGAAGAGGCAGAAGGCGTACCTGGCTGAAAACCAAGCACGGGCCAAGGTCAGGTGTGAGAGAAGGCATTGTACCTTCAGGAACTGCGGACAGGTCATTATTACCCAGGGTCGGGATGCAAAAGAGCAATGATTAGAAATGAGGCTGGTGGGCTGGCAGAGGACAGATGGCACAGTCCTTGTAAGGTGCTAAGGATTTGGATTTGTGTCGTGGGGCACTGGGGAACCATAGAAGAGGTGAAAGAAGGGGAACGACGTGGCCATGTGTGCATGTGGCAGAGTTCCCTGACCCTGGAACAGAATGTGAAAGCTGCACTGAAGGAGTGCATGCATGGAAATCACCCAGGGAAAGGCCACGAAGCCTGAATCAGGATGGGGTTGGGTGGAGTGGCAGAGAGCAGGAGTGGGTATTTGGGCATCAGGAATAGAATTTGGTGTCCGCTGGGGTTGAAAAAAGGGAAACAGCCCTAGTATACCCCCGGGATCTCAGCTTGGTGAACCCCCAGGAGTGAGGGTAGAGACTGGGGCTGGCAAGACAGCTTGGGGAGGGTGGCCAGGATAAACCCAGTCCTCCCCTGGATGAAAGCTAGGCTGCAGGCCCCTCTTCAGACACTAGAGGGAGCTCCAGGATAGGCCCAGGCTCCCCTCACCAACCAGCTTAGCTTCCACTAGCTCCGGGAGGGGATAGAACCCAGCTCACCATTCAGATGTAGGTCCTGGGGGTCCTATCGCAGCCCGGCCCACTGGCCTCACTGTCTCTGGGCCACCTCTTCCTTCAGCCACCGAAATGGCAGTGGAGAGGAGTCTTTCTGAGGTGGGAGCAGGCGGGGGCAGACTTTAGGAACTGTAGACAAGAAGTACAGACGGCCTGTGCCCTTCTAACCCTGTTCCCCCCACCTGCCCCTAGGGGAGAAGGGGAGTGGCTCACCCAAGGTCACATGGCAGAGCACCCCAGGTGGGATAGAATGGACTCAGAAAGAGCACAAGCAGCCCTTCCAAACCCCTTCCTGAGCCTTCTTACAAAAAAACGAGGTAAGGGGGAATTCCCGTGAGCCACCCCCACGTAATCCTGGGACACCTTTCCCCCGCAGGAATGTTCTGGGGTTGGGATTAACAGCAGCTTCGTGGGTGGAGCCAGAGCATGAATGGCTGCCACATTTTTAAAAATTTATTTTTCTTTTCTTTAGAAACAGGGTCTCTGCTGCCACCCAAGCTGGACTGCAGTGGCACGATCTTGCCTCACTGCAGGTTCAACCTCCCAGGCTCAAGAGATCCTCCTGCCTCAGCCTCCCAGATAGGTGGGACTACAGGTGTGTGCCACCATGCCCAGCTAATTTTTTAATTTTTGTTTTTAGAGATGGGGTCTTGCTATATTGTCCAGGCCAGTCTCAAACCTCTGGATTCAAGTGATCCTCACACCTTGGCCTCCCAAAGTGTTGGAATTACAGGAATGAGCTACCACGCTCAGACTGGCTGCCATATTTCAATGGTGTTCTGTACTTTCTGGAGAGGCTCCTATTTTGCTGTGAGGCTGAGGTCCAAGGGAACAGGACCTTCTGGGGTCACTCAGAGAATTGTGTCTGCAGAGCTAAGGCTCAAACTAAGCCCTCTCACTCCTAGCCCAGAACTCTCCCCAGCAACGAGTTCGTGGAAGGGGTTAAACTCACTCTGTGGCTGGAGTCAAAGCTAAA